CCAGCAGAGACTGGATGGTCTGGCTAATGGCCTCTCCCACGCCGGTATGGTCTTCAACTCCACCAAGTAAAGAGAAAAGTGCCTGCCTCCGCCCATGTGAAGTGTCTATCGGGGGGAGTGTCTTGCGCTCAATGGATACCTTCAAGTATTTGGGGGTGCCCTTTTCCTATCAGGGGAAGGTGACAGTAAGCTACCACTCTGTTCTCTACAACATGTTGCTGTGGGTCACAAAAACACCCTTGAAATCGCAGCAGCGCCTTCCTCTCCTGAAGCGACACTGCGTACCGAAACTTCTGCACGAACTGGTCCTTGGGGCAGTTAATCGAAATACGCTCAAGCGGCTCGATGTCCAAATCCGACAGGCCGTGAGACTCTGGTTGCGGCTTCCCTCTGACACGCCGGCATCCTTCCTGCATGCGGCTGTTCTGGACGGTGGTCTCGGTGTACCCTGTCTGACAGTGATGGTTCCGTTTGCAAAGCGGCGGCGACTGGACTCGGTGCTCTCTTCTCAGGAGCCTGCGGTACGAGTGGCTGCTATTGTTCCTTCGGCTCTGCCTGGAATGCGGATGGCTGCTCAACCAGTCCGCCTGGGTCAAACTGTTTTGGCTAGCAAAACGGATGCAAGGAATTACTGGAGGAAATCTTTGTATGAGTCAGCTAATGGCAGACCACTTGTGCATTTTGCGGACTCTACTTGTGCCAACCATTGGCACTCCTCCCCTGTTTGGGTCTTCCCTTGGTTGTTTCTACGAGGCATCCAACTTCGGGCGGGTGTCCTCTCTACCAAAGCCCGCAGTTCCCGTAGGACAGGTCGTGAGGACGTGTTGTGTCGAGGCGAATGCGGCCAGCGCGAGACTCTCTTCCATATACCCCAGTGCTGCCATTTGACGCACCAGGCCCGTGTTTGGCGTCATAATCGTGTGATGCGGCTGTTAACGCAATGTCTGTTGAAAGGACGGCAGGAAGTTTTTGTGGAGCCCCACATCCCGGAGGGTGCTACCTTGTGCAAGTCGGACCTTGTTTTGTGCACAGAGAGTGGAATCACTGTAATTGATGTTGCTTTGGCCGGCAAGACGCTGTTGGAGCAAATATTTGAGCGAACGATCCGACGTTATTCAACGGAGGAGATTGAGATGAATTCGCTAAGGCTTCTTGGCCGTCCGGCCAATACCCTGATTGTGCATATTCCAGCTGTGTTTTCCTGCCGTGGTGGCATTTTCTCACGCAGTGAACGATTGTTGCAGGGCCTCGGCCTATCTGTCTACGATTTGTCTGACTGTTGCTTGGCGGTAATCCGAGGTTCCCTGAAGGCGTACGATGTACATACGCGTGGAGCTGGCCGAGGTGAAGCTCACGAGAAGGGTGTGGTGCACTTATGACGCGGGTGGCCTAAACCACTTGGCGGCCCTGTAGTTTAGCTGGCTCTGAGTAGTTCAGCGGCTGCAAAACAGTCGCCGGCGGCGGTTACCTGCTGATGGTGTGTTTCTTAGATGCCCTGGCGCTCGCGCCATTTTGCCCCTTCCCCGGACAGTGACGATTCAGCCTTCCGATTGTTTATGGACAGTGACTCTGTAATACAATGATATGCTCCCCAC